CAATTAAAGACTGGATATATTTAATACACACATTCCATGATTGCCGGGTTCTCCTCGTGTACCGGGAACTCCTGGCACTTCTCTCTCTCTCTCTCTCTCTCAACCGTTATAAAATAGACAAGTTAAAAATACTTTCACGTTCAAACAAAACAATAGGTGCAATAAATTAAATTTTTTAATTACTAAATTCACAAACAATACTAAAATAAATTAAATATACAAATAGTATTATTTAATATAATTAATGACAATAAAGGCACATGGTACCATTAACTAAACTAAAACAATACTAAAATAAATAAAATATACAAACAGTATTATTTAAAATAATTAATGTCAATAAAAGCACATGGTATTATACCATTAACTAAACTGAAACAATACTAATAACATTAACTAAAAACTAAATTAACCATATATAAAATTATTATTATAGATGGTTGTGGCGGTCTCTTGATTGTTATCATTGATCTGTACGCTAAACGTGGTAACCGTTTGCACCATACCCTCAGTACTAGCCGTATAACCCCCGCACTCGGTAGTGCTCGAGGTCTCGGTTGTACTCGAGGTCTCGTTGTTGGCCACTATAGGCGCCAAACTGCTCGGCATCAATGACCCGGAGTTCGCTATAGTTATGATAGGATTGCCAGCAGAGGTTAGTTTAATTGTTGTATTTGTATTATTTGGTATAATTAATGTAGTGTTATTTGGATTTATTATTAAAGTAGTGTTACCAGTAGTAGACGTACTATTGTCGCCACTGGTAGGTCGCGGTGGCTCAGTAGTAGAGTTACCAGTGTTATTTGTAGAGTTACCAGCGGTGGTTGTGGCAGTTTTGTTACCGTTTCCTGTATCTGATGAATTGTTTAGCTGGCGTGGAGTAGTAGTAGTAGTGTTATCAGGTTTTAACGTGCTGCCTGTAGAGTTAACAGGTACAGTAGAGTTTCCCTGATCCTGAGCCCCTGGAGCCTGATCTACCGGTGCTGTCCGGCCAATGGCCAGGCATACGGCCAACAATGCAAACAATATACACGTATTCATTATAATAGGAAAGTTTTGTTTCACACACTCTTAACAATAGGAACTCAAATAACTCTTTGTCAAATAAGTTATTGATGTACTCTTAATAAATGCTTATTAAATAGATTTTTTGCCGATCATGGTTATAAATTCTTGTGTATTCTGTGTTTTTTGATCATCATTATTTTCATGATTCACTTTCACATAGTTGTTTTATTTATTGCTCAATTGCATTTGGATTTGTGCTGTATTTTTTTTGGTAGATGTTGCATACCTGTTGTGACACATTTATAATCTTAATGTAATTCACTTTATTTGATGAAAATGTGCTGTATCATTTAAATTTCATTATCAATAACATATTTATTTATTATAATGTTAATCAATAAGAATAGTGGAAAATATAAAGTCTATTCAATGTTAAAAAGTTTAATTTAATTTTATTAATAACAATCTAGCCTGAGATTTAATTAATACATTGATATACGTTTTGAACACATGTAGTTTTATTATAGTTAATTTGAATAAATACAGGTTTTATTAAATATGATAACAATCTCTGATTAAATACACAATTAAGATTTTTAAGTAAAATAAATTATTTTAGTACTGATAAAAAACAAATACAGTACTACATAAAAATAAACTAATGAGTTAAAAATTAATACATTAAAATCATAACACATTTAGCATATAAAGGCTTTATAATATACTGGATTAAAATAATGATAGTAATAAATAGATCGCGATGTTATAGTTTAACTTGTTTCAACCTCAACTGATCCCGAGTACAAGCAATCAACGTTGCCGTCCACTAGAGTACAATTGAGGGCAATTGTATCGTTGATCTCGATATCAGTAATTGGAGTTGAGCTAGATGATGATGTCATCCATGGTGGTAGAGTGCTTGTGGTGGCCCTGCCGTTGCTTCTGCCTCCCTGGCCAGAGTTACCCTGACCATTGTTGCCCTGACCATTGTTACCTTGACCATTGTTACCCTGACCATTGTTACCCTGGCCATTACCATCATTGCCGTTTTGAGTTGGAGCTGACCAGACAATGGCCATACCGATGATCGCGATGAATGCAATAGCCAAAACTTTCATGGTGATAGTATAGTTTAAATAATCTAGGTAACAAAATCGCTAAATCTATAAAATAAGAATGTTTTGCTATTATTTAAAGTCTTATTAGACTTAAAAACAATGTATTGATTATGAGGTAGACAACGATAGTTAACTTAATAATCTAGCACTTAATCGCTCGATCCGGGTACTTTTATAGATGTTTGAAAATTTTAACTTATCATGTTAAGTTACGGAATTGCCAAAATATATTGCTAGTTTGTTTGCCAATATTGTAGACGTCAATATGTTTAAATAGAAATTTTATTCACTAATTAATCAATGTCCATTTTTGTGTTAATTCATTTAACTTTCATAACAATTGTAATGATAAATAAATCCGTTTTACGTATATATTAATTGTGAAACTATTATTTGCTAAAACAATAAGGTTTTATTTTTTAAACACTTTACATAATTTCAATGTAAGAACCTATTAGTACAAAGTTTAGTTCTAAGTCAATGCAATATTTCATTACCAAGCACAATAATTATATTATACTGTACATTATAAATATTGTAAATGGTAATATTAAAAGTAAAAGTTTCTTTATTGTAATTAATTGAGAATACTTACAGCAATTACATTAGGCCTCAAAATATTTTTTATTTATTCATAGTTATTAAATATATACAAAATTAATAATACAATCTTCTTTAACACTATTTAAATCTAACATAAACTACTTATTTTAACAAACTTAAATATTTATTCAAACTCGGGTATAATCGCAAATAATCATCAAGTGCTTTTGTTAACGGCTCCTAGATTTAGTTGTTGTAGCGCCTGTAGTTGCGTTCGTGTCTGTGTCTCTGCCCACCATGGTCGTTTGGTTACCGGACATACCCGTTGAGTTCATAGGCATACCATTTGTCTGGTTCCCCTCACCCATAGATCCCATGCCATATGTCTGGCCGCCCTCAGCCATAGGTGTTGTGCCGTTTGTCTGGCCACCCATGGGTGCCATATCATCATCATCATCGTCATCATCATCATCGTCATCATTTGGCTGTCCACCCATGGATGTACCACTTGTCTGTGTACCCATGGGTGCCGCACCATTTGCCTGTCCACCCCTGGATTCAGTACTATTTGTCTGTCCACCAATAGGTGCCATACCTTCTGGCTGTCCACCAATAGGTGCCATACCATTTGACTGTCCAGCCATTGATGCCGTATCACTTGTCTGTCCACCCATGGATGTTGTATCATTTGCCTGTCCAACCCTGGATTCCGTGCCATTTGTCTGTCCACCCATGGGTGCCATACCAGTTGCCTGTCCACCCATAGGTGCCACACCATTTGGCTGTTCACCCATAGATGCCGTACCATTATTCTGTCCATCCATACCCGTAGCCGTTGTGCCATTAGTTGGCATTAACGAAGTCATGTTCATAGGGCCGACACTAGCCATAGCGCCCGTACCGTTCATAAGGGACGTAGCGTTTTGTGGCATTAATGTAGTTTCGCCCGTAGTTTTCTGGCCACCCGTACCTGTGGTTGTGTTGGTACTGGTGTTTGTCTGCTCCGACATCACATGTGCCACAAACCCGGCCATTATTGTCCATAATACTAGGGATTTCATCTTGGTATGAACTTGGTAGCTAAAACAAAGTTATAAATGCTATATGCTAAATAGTAAACTTTTTTAGAAGTTTAATTTTTCTATTTAAACTGAGCGAGTGGCAATTAGTTACCCTTCTATTTATACCATAATCAGTGTTCAGTTTCGTAATTACTAAATCTATTGTCTATACCTGTATATTAATTATCAATGATATTTTATCATGATCCATGATTTTGATGTGCGTGACATTTAAAAGCGATTGGAGGTTAAAATAATAATGGAAAGTATTTTTTGGCAAAATGACTAATTGTCTTATTGCTACTAAACGATGATTGTCAAATTATATTGCATTTCAATTACGTAAATTGCTTTTTTATGTAAATTGTGCAATGTCAAAAGTATTTTAGACCTTTAGTAGATTAGTTTAGTCTAGACTTTAGAGTTAAGATTAAAAATGTTACTAACTTGGTAAATGTTGTCCAGTTAATTCTTTAATCAAGTTTATTAGCATGCATGATTTACAGTGCGGTTAATTTAAAAATATATAAGTTAATTATGATAAGAACATAGAAAAGTTGATGCAATTTACAGTGACAATTCAGTTTAGCAAATAAATGATGTCAAAATTTAAAAAATAATAATAAAATAGTAGTTTGTACATGTTAAAAAACTAGAGAACAAGTAATTAGTTCGCATTTTAATTTTTGAAATTAAATATTTAAAGTAAAAATGTGTCACAATATTAAATAATATTATGATATGCAGAAAATACAACTATTTTTATTATAAAATAATTTTTAATTAATTAATTAAATTAAATTATATGTTTTAAATAATATTACAATTAATAAAAATTTAAAAAAACAAACTTTGGTATTGAATTAAATGGTGACATACACTGAATTAAATTATGACAAAATTAACTTGGTAGTATTCCAGGCACAATTTACATTACATAAAATAAATTAACATTAAGCAAATTAATTAATTAAGTAGATTGTTTTCACATCTATAAATACAAAATAATTATATAAAAACTTTGAAAAATACATTACGATAAATCTCTCTCTCTCTCTCTCTCTCTCTCTCTCTCT